GGGGCAGGTTTGACGTGCCTTGTATGCCAGCGAACCTTCACGTCCATCAGTGGAAGGACTCGACACAAGTGCAAACTGACTGACATCCAAACTACAGCGGCACCACCCCTGGAGTGCTCCACCTGTCACCGGACCTTCCGCTCGACTAGCGGCCGGACACGCCACCGATGCGACAGGGTGACTAGTACCATTTGACTTGTCCCTTCGGGGACTGCGTAGCCAGACTTGGCAGCAGGATCAAGATGTATGTATGTATGTACCCATTGCTGTAGACAGAAAGCTGTTTCGGTCATAAAGGCCTCATCAGTACAGCTACGAGCTAAACAGGCCGAGCTACCAGCCATGGTGCAAAGGAGGCACCACAGACATTAAGATAGCTCGTCGCTCTAGCGCCAGAGTGCTCTAACTACAAAAAGTAACGGGCATTGTATGTATGTATGTATGTATGTATGTACCGGTATGTGTGATTTGATGGGCCCAAAATTGTGGCTTCTATTCGAGGTCAGCTTCTATTCCAGTGCGGCTTTTATACCAGACTTTACGGTATGTATGCATGTATGTATGTATGTATGTGTTGTTGTCTGTATGTGTTGTCTGTATGCGTGTGTTTGTTTGTGTGTGTCTGTGTTTGTATCTGTGTGTTTGTTTTGTTTTGGGTTTTTTCTACAAAATCCACTTATTTCCAGACACTGGGGTGAATAGTGGACTGTGGTGGTGGGACCCATTATGCTCAGCCGACCAGAGGTGTCGGCTTCATAACTTGATGGACGCAAAGGGAGACCGGGCAGGGAGGATTAAGTTGAAAAATAAAACAGGAGAAAGAAAATGAAAAGATTGTATTGCTCAGTGAGCAAAACACTAAGTTTTAAGTATTGACGTGAACACTGTTAGACTTAATTCAAGAGGAGACTGTCTGTGAGGAGAGATGATGTGCAAGCAGGGTAGTCTGTGTGTCTGTGTGTGTGTCTGTGTGTGTGTCTGTGTGTACACCTATGCAGGCTGCACCTCAGGCAACTGCAACGTCCATGGGCCACGGTTTCCTTCAGGCGCTATCGCAGGCGTATCAGCAGCCCAACTTCACGCATTCCATCGACTCAGCCCTATCACAGAGTGTGGCCACTATGGATACGAGTGCCAATGTGTGAGTACCCATTGTAGAACGCTTACTGTAAAGTGAGACACTTTTGCTAGAGATGAAATTCGCTATTTTCACAACCACCACACTTTCACAAATATATAAGTCGCCGCGAACTTCTCTGTATATTGATTATAGACAGTACAAGAACTACTCTGTACATTGATTATAGACAGTACAAGATCCAATTGAGTAGATGAAATCGCGAAAGTTTCTCATCGTGAATCAGCGGAATTCTTGAAAACGCAAAATTTGCGCGCCGCGAAAGTTTATCACTTTACAGTAACCGACCCTACCCATCATTCTACTGTACGATCACTACCCGATGCAGTAGTCCCTAGTATGGGCATTGTTTCTGGATGCTATCATTCTACTGTACGATCACTACCCGATGCAGTAGTCCCTATGGGCATTGTTTCTGGATGCTCTGCATTAGACACCCACCCTCTCTTTTCCGGGTGTTTGTCACTCAGAACGAGTTGCACGCCCTTTGGAGCTTATTAAATTTTCTTTTTGGTACTGCGGTACAATTTGTGGTATTTAATAAAGGAGGTCTGGATAGGTGAGGGTCCTGATAAGTGAGGGTATGGATAATTTAGGGTCTGAATAAGTCAGGGTCCGGATAGCTGAGGGTCTGGATAAGTGAGGGTCTTGATAAGTGAGGGTCTTGATAGGTGAGTGTCTGGATAAGTGAGGGTCGGAATGAGTGAGGGTCCAGTATGTGTGTGCTTGCACGTATGAAGTGTATAACCGTGTACTGTGTCACGAAGTGTATCTGAGAGAAGGAACAGTTATTGCTGGTGTTCAGCACCTGTGTTCCATTCAGTGCTACTTTCAGCAGCAGAGACAGAAGGAGAAGTGTGTGTGTGGGGGGGGGGGGGGGGGGGTGTTTTGGGTGTGTATTTGTGTGACAAGCTATTCTAATGTATCAGCTATAGTTGTGTATGAATGTTGTCAACCTGTCAAAGTGTAAAGCATCGCCAGTTTCAGCACCACCGCTGTCGACAGCCCACATCACACCACAACCCACACCACACCTCACTTCACCCGCACCACACCACACACCACACCACACGCCACACCACAACCCGCACCACACCTCACCACAGCAGCCCGTACCTCGCCACACCCCACACCACACCCCAGTCCACACCACACCACAGTCCACACCAGTACACAGGTAAAGGCGCTTGCCTAGTCATCTTGACTTTCTTTCCTCTGCAAGTGATTACAGAAAGGAAGACTCTACTTTCCTCTCTTCATGGTCTTCTCCGAGCAACCTCCATTGCAGGTTGTTTGCTCTCATTGGTTTGAGGCAAGATTCCGAGCTGGAAGCAGCCATTGTGTTTCCCCATTGCTTGCATCTGCTCGTGCCTCCAACTAACTTGCATACATGTACTGGGAGTTGGATGTATGCAAACGTGACTTCTTCATTGCTGCTATCGTTCGGGTGGCAGTCGACTTTTGTCTTCAACTTCCTGTAGTGCTGTTTCCTGCTGGCTTGGTTGGTTGTTCGACAGCCAGTGTCTCAGCCTGGTTTTTGGAGACAAGAAAGGATGAGCGCTACGATCCCGTCACCATCCCTGGGCGTGCGTGGGGTTAGTATATCAGGTGCCAACAACAGCAGCAAGCTAGCTCTATTCCCTAAGCAAGTTCCTGCTTTCTGCTCTCCATCATCCACGGACCACGTCTTGTCCGACACTGCTGCAGCGCGTCTCCGTCAGAAGATTGCTAGAGATGAGTTTGATCCGCTGCCTGCCACGGTCGGCTGCACCCACCGGTATACTATGTGTAGCAACGATTTACCGGCGAAAGTTTTGTCTCCGTCGGATTGCCGTGACTGGAAGAGCAGTGACAGCAGCGCGCAGATGCACAGAGCCTCAGCGGGTAATGGTGGCAAGCCTGGCCGGAGTGCTCCGCAACGACTGCAGAAGCAGGGCCGTAGGCCCGCGGCGTTCCCTTACCCCTTTACCGCGCTGTCTAAAGACACCGGCTCACCTAAAGACACCGGCTCACCGTGTTACGAAGATGATGAGACAGGCTGTGACAGCTCGCTGCTAGACTTCACTGACTTGCTGAGCTCGGCCGATGATGATGATGTTGAAAGCTGCACTGCCTTCCTGCCTCGCAGTCTTCAGGCGTCTTTAGGCATGCTGGCACGATCCGAGCATGAAGCTGTGCGAAGAAAAAATCAGCAATCGAACGGAACATCCAAGCGTGACTCGTCAACCAATGGCGTGTACTCCAGGAGAAGTATGCTGAGTGGAGATTATGCCACTGATGACTTTTCATTGCAGGGTGGGTTGTCTGCAGGTGATGCCAATGGCAAGTGTGCATCTTTGATCAGCAGAAATGGGAGTGGTGCGTGCAAGCAGTCATCACACGAGGTGTGTAGTGACTTGAGTAATGATGCGAAGCTGTTCAAGCCTATCGCTAATCCTCCCGTGGCACCAGCACTGCTGAACTGTCCGCAGACTCACAGCCCCGTGTGTGTGGTACGTGAGGAGGACCGATTCATGTCAGGCCACTCTGCTCACCATGCTCTCAACTCCTCAGCTACGCAGCAGGACAAGCCCTTGCATGTCAACGGCGAACTACCTGACAATGACCGCGAGCACGGACGCTCCGTGTTTGAATCGCTACCCGCGTCTTGGCTGGAGAGAGCTGGCTCCACTGAGACTACTCCAGCCACGCCTGTGCGTCGGCCGATAGCCACTCGACACACTGCCGGTGTGTCACCGTATATCTCTGACCCACCGTCCTCACAGCAGAAGCAGCAGCAGCCGCACAGGTGTTTGGCGACCGACCCAGGTTTGTCGGCATTCACCCGTACCTGGAGCGTGCCTTCACCCTGTGTGCAGCATGGCAGTGTGTTAGGCCAAGGCTACTGTGAGTCTAGTGCTCCTCCTTGCACACTGCAGCCGTTGCCAGTGCTGGCTGGAGACTCGTCACGAATCACGCCGACCAGGTCTTCTTCTAAGAATGGCTGCCCCGAGTCATTATCGCTAACCCCATCTCATCAGCTGGCGGCCACGTCCGCATCTACCGACTTGTCTCCGGCTTGCGCATCTGCTTATGCAGCTGGTCGGGTTGCTGGAGAGCAGCAGTTTAGACAGCAGCAGCAGCGATGTGAAGTGGCAGCAGCAGCAACAGGGGGACCCGGCAGAGCACACGACCGCCTCCGACTGCCTGCTCATGTTGACTATGTCCTGGCTTCAGGAAGACATTCAGCTGCTGGAGTGGCAACTACTACTATGACGACTGCGAAGGAAGCACCGGTAACAAGGACCACCAGTACTGGCTGGCTTGGTGATGCTGTGAGCAATGCCGCCGGAGAGATATTGGCTGATGGCATGACTGCACCAGTGTCTACACTAGCCTCTACACTGGATAACAACAACAACAACAACAACAACAACAACAACAACAAGGCTAGTGCCAGTGGTGGCAGTAAGGATGAGTTTCAGGGCTGTGCCTTTACCGATGACGATGACGCCTGCTATCTGCAGCAGCTGCACAAGGCTGTGCACGAATCATCACTGCTGGCCAAACAGCATCAGCAGCAGCAGCAGCGAGAAGAACTGCTGGAACAACAGAAGCAGCAGCTGCTGCATGACGCTACGGACTGCATGTCTGGGTCACGCTGCCGCCGCACTGGGTCAACACGATCTTATCGCGGTGACACCTCTCCCCATGTGCGTCCTGAGTACACCGCGCTGCCCAACCAATCGCCTTACGTTGCTTCATCAGAACATCGACCGTATGAGGGTCTCCTTCCAATATCTAGTGACAGCAGTGGTGATGTAACCGTAGCTTCTAGGCGAAAACGTCAGCCACGGCTGCAAGGCGCATTGAAGCGACTGAAGACGCGGCTTAGTGAAGAACGAGCTGGTGTTGGCGGAGCTGGTGTTGGCGGTGAAGGAGCCGGTGTTGGTGGTGCTGTTCCTCTGCCTCCACGTACCCGTGGTCCTCAGCAAAGCTCTCATGGGAGCGTGTGTGATGACCTCTACTCAGCCATGCTCAACAAGGAGCTGGATGCCAATCGCCAACGCACCCGCATGCTCCAGGACGTGTACGCCGATGCGCTGAGCCAGCGTGTGCATTTGCTCAGCGACATCAGTGACCTGGAGGATAGCCTGCGGAGAGGCGGACAGCAGCTCAAGCAGCTCCGCTCGCTCATGGCTGTATCGCCGACACCGGCTGCAGCAGCAGCAGCAGCAGCAGCAGCGGCGACAGCACCTGTGGATTACCATTACCATGACAACACTAGTTTGAATGGTGCCGCTAACAGTGGTGGTGCTGACATTCGTTACGCTTCTGGAAGCTATCCGTCTTCTTTCCCGAATCCAGTAGCAAAGCAGCAACAACGAGAGAGACACCGAGATGATGTGACAGGTTATGGCTACCCGCTAGCTTCTCCCAGTAGACATGAACACACTGATGGACTCTCTATCTTGCGTCTTAACGACAGGCAGCCATTGGGCACCGCATCCAGTGCAGGTGATCAAGCAAAGAATGGTGGCCATGCATCTTTCTCTCACCGCACTGGCAGCCAGCTACCGGCGGTGTCAACAAATAACTACTCCCGTACTCACAGTGACCCAACAAATAACTACTCCCATACTCACTGTGACCTAACAAATAACTACTCCCATACTCACATTGACCGAACAAATAACTACTCCCATACTCCTAGTGACCAACTGCCAACACCACCACTACACAACACACCAGCCGACAGTCCACTGGCAGACGGCCATGATGAGAAAGCTGATCATCAAGACAGACAGGATCCTGACAATCAAGACGGACAGGATCCTGACAGTGACGTGCGCTACAGGGAAATCACGGCAATGTGGGAGCAGTTTGTACGCAACGGATACCAACCGCCTCTCTCTGGCTCGTCCGAGGGCAGTAGTGACGACGTGTGCAATGATATTGAGCGGCTTCGCATGACGGAGGCGGAACGCTGCTCAACCCATCGCCCGTGGAGTGACAATGTGCAGCACATGGACCTGACGACGATGTCATCGTCACAGCGTTATGACGTCGCCAAGACTGCACGGCGTGCTGTTGACATCGGTGCTGCTAGCGGTGCGAATGGCAGTGCCAAGGATGCGTGCAGCCGCGATCCTACCAATACTGAGCTGTGTTACCTGCAGCAGGATGTCAACGGTGATATTGCCAATAGTGATGCTAGTACTCATGATGGTACTGCTGATCCGTGCGATAGCATCACTGCGGTCGCTGGTGATGTGAATCGGGAACGTGAAGCAGACTTTCTAGATGATCATTCCGTTCTGAGCAGCGATAGTCACTGTAGTTTTGCAAGGAGCCCTCTGTTGTACTCGCGTCACTATGCGACAGCATGTCTGGAACATCGTAGCGATCTTCTGCCGGAGCCGGGGTCCGTAGAGGGTGCCCATCGCAGCAAACCTGTTGGTCGTGTGCCAGTGCCAGCACTATCGGCCGACCCAGTGCGATCGGATGATCCAGTGCTGCGTGAAGCAAGGACAGGTTCGTCTTTGCTGCCAAGACTTCCCCCTCAACAAGCAAGCACTAGGCACCTGGGAGCGCGCCACGCGTCGACGAAGAAACGTCCTGCATTCGCCGCCGCGAGTGCTGCGCGTACATCAAGAGTTCCCTACTCTCCACGCGCTCATGATCGGCGGATGGACAAGAGAGACCGCGGTCATGGCACGCGCACTTCCGCCACCTCGACGGCTGCTGCACAGTTTGCTGTTGGCAAGGCAAGCATGGCTGGCAAGTCCTCAATGGTTGGTGTTAGCGCTAGCCAACAGTGCAGACCACTCGGCGTGGCTGGCTGCGAACCAGGTGAACGGCCTGACCTGTCCATGACGTCCGCGGATGATCTCCTCCTGAAGGAGTTCCAGCTTGCCCAATCGCTGGTCCGAGAAGGCAACCTGGTCTTGCAGCAAATGATTGGCGAGCATACTAAGCAAGGGAAGGACCTGCGCAGTCTTCGCCGCCTTCGGTCGGATAATTATAACAGTGTGGTTGATATGGAGGAACGACTGTTGAGGTCAACCACCACCCACGGAAATTAACATGTGATCGTGTCGACTGGCAAGCAGCCGTGATACGTAACATTGGCGGAACAGTATATGCTCTCTCTCTCTCTCTTCCTCCCTCTCTCTCTCTCTCTCTCTTCCTCCCTCTCTCTCTCTCTCTCTCTCTCTCTCACACACACACACGCACGCACACACGCACGCACGCACATGCGCGCACATCACAAACAACAGCAACACTCACACCTCTTTAGATCCATTTCCGTCATGCATTTCCCCGTATAGCCTTCGTTTCTTTTCTATGAGAAAATGACCAGAGCATGCATGCCTGACACCTGACTTGTTCATGTTTTTCTCCTGTATTGTAAGCTTTAGAGGACAGGAATGTTTGATTTCTGTTAAATCATGAGGACTGATTCATTATATTCGCCACAAGCACATCCTGTAGTTTGTTCGTGTAGTCAGCATTGTAGCTAGTGTCCTGTGGATACCCATCCAGTTCCCATCCAGTGATCACCCCCCAGATTCATCCAGCAGAATGTACTAACAACACAGAACACTGTTTTCTTACCAGTATTGCACGTGCACCGAGACTGTCATCTTCTTGCCACTTGTCTTCTCGTGCGTAGGGTCTGTTGGCTTTCACCATTACGAAAATTAAACAAATTCTGTTGCTTCAGTAGCATACACCTGCACTATTTGCATTGCTTGCACTTCCCCGGGCACTGTGTCTTTGCAGCAATTCCCGAGCCACTGGAGTGTTTAGCAGATCTTGTGTCACTTATCACACTCCGCAGATTGTACATAACTGTGCTAAACTGTTCTATTTTTAGAATACACTACTAGTACAGTATGATTTGTTTGGAAAATATAAATCTTCGTCGTACCCATTGGGAATGAAAGCTTTTGTGTACAGCATGTGTGTCAGGTGTCTACATGTATGTGCTGGCTGTGCATGACCGGAATCGATCAAATTGAACAGTGTCTGTCTGGCTCTCTCTTTATCTCTCTCTCTCTCTCTCTCTCTCTCTCTCTCTTTCTCTCTCTCTCTCTCTCTCTCTCTCTCTCTCGTTCTCTCTCTCTCTCTCTCTCTCTCTCTCTCTCTCTCTCTCTCCCTCCCTCTACCTCCCCTCTATCTCTGTCTTCCTCTCTCTTTCTCCTTCCTTCATTCCCTTGTTCCTGTGGGTGTTGTTGTTGTTGTTACTTGCCTTGTTCAGGGTTACTGGGCCTTTACTGAGCTTTCCTGCATCTCGCTTACCACCTCGGAGAACGCCTCGACCAACTGCGGACGGTAAGAGAACTCTATGACCGCAGCAAGAAACCGGTAGTCATCCGAACTGGGCACACACAGGTTATGTTGCGAGAAGGGGCAGCAGATATATGTGTGTGTGTGTGTGTGTGTGTGATTTGATTTGATGCCTGGCCAACCGTAGAGGTGCTAGGTTTCAATCACGCCCGTGGATTCTTCTTTTGCAACATTGGCGTCCAGTGTGAGGCTCGAACCTATGACCCATCGTATCCCGTACCCCCACACACACACATACACATGTACACATCCAGCGAATAGGTACGCCATGATGACACAACCTGTTGGGGAGGGAAGCAGTGTAGCAAGAAGGGGCCACGTGGGTGTGTGCGTGTGGGTGGGTGGGTGTGATCCCCGGTAACCGGATTTGTTGGGCCCCTGTCCTGTTTAGACAGGGGTGATGGGTTCAAATCCTGCCCGTGGATCCTTCTTTTGCTACAGCTGCGCAGGAATGTGGCTGCTTTGCAGTTGTGCTTCATTGACTGTCACCATGGCGGCTACGGCGGTTGCTATGGTGATAAACGAGTTCACACATTTTTCACTTGTAGGGAATAGTTAGAAGCTTGGGTTAGGGAAATTTCATTTTTTTTTTCATT